CCTTCCTCCACCTCCCACTCATCCTCCTCCCCCTGCCACCCCCCCCTCGTTTTCATCTTCGTCGTTCTCAGGGTCGGCGGCAACGGCCGTAAGGCCTCCGCAATCGTCAAAAACAATCAAAAAATCGTTCCCGCACTATGTTTTGACTATTTTTGAAGATTCCTCCTGTAGAGGGACAGGCCCGACTTAAACTCAAGGCACCATCACGCGCCCATGCCCAACAACAGGCGGTCCGCTCAAATTAAGTCTTCCCGTCCTCGGCGCCGCTGCCGAAGTAGCCGCCGGCGGGGAGCACGGTGACGAAGAACGTGTACTCCTGGGCCAGGGGCGACAGGCCGAGCATCTCGCCGCTGGCGAAGAGCAGGGGGCGCACGTACATCGACGCATTGTTTCCGTAAGGGGGCACGAACTCGGCGTTGTGCTTCACCGCCTCGCCAGGAGCACACTCTGCGATGCTTACGGAGCGCCCGGGGGTCGCCGCGCTGGGGTCGCCGCCGCGTCAACGCGGCGCGTACATTTGCACGTTCACACCAGATGCATAAGCGCGCGTCGCACAGGCCCGAGCTCTAGCGCAGGACAGGGCCACGTCACACCTAAATGGGTTCACACCCTCCTCCTTATCTGCCTCCTCCCTCGCCCGTCCTCCTCCTCCCTTTCTCCTCCTCCTCCTCGTCCTCCTCCTCCTTCTCCTCCTCCTCCTCCTCCTATTCCTCCTCCTTTTCCTCCTCCTCCTTTTCCTGCGCCTCCTCCTCCTCCTTTTCTTGGGCTGTTGCAATGCTGCGTGAAAGAGAATATGAAGCTGCCGCGCACAAAGCCCGAAACAAGCGCGACACAAAGGAACGCGGCACACGTCGCTTGTCATCAAGGTCACAACACAATTTCCTCCGCTCTCCGTTCTGCTCCCGCCCGTTCCCTGCCCCTCCAGTCCGCTGCTCCAATGACCTGGCTATTCCTATCTATCGCATTCCCTCCGTAGGTTCCTCCCCAGTCCAACCCTCCGCCAATCCCCTCGTCGCTAACTGCCTCTCTCCCCATCTCGTCCTTCCTCCCTCCCTCCCCCCCATACTTTCGATGAATGCGGCCGCCGATGTCTTAGATGTTTTAGCTCTGCCACTTCAGCTAGACAGGCCCTGTGGCGATCCACCCCGTGTTTAACCCACAAAACATTGACGGGGTGCTGTTTCGTTTGCCACCAGGGGAAAAGTTACACGTTGCTGGGGGATGGGTACACGAAAGCCATCGGATGCAATTACTTGAGGGGTTTCGCCTTTGGTATTGTTGTCTTTGTGGGCACTATGCAGATCAGGTATTTCGGGGGCTTGGGCAATAATGCCACAAGCGAACGATCCCATCCAGAGCCGAGTATTTGAACCGAATCCATTCGGGACAGTGGCCGAAGGTTCAGAGTCGGGCTGAATTGGCTCGGAAGGGGGCGTAATTTTATATTCGAACTCGCTTCGCGACTGGCGTCACTCAGTCACTCACTCCCTCCACTAGTTTCCCCCCCAATTCCTGCACCCATACCTCCCCAGAGGAAAACAACAAAAAACGGGTACGACAGCGCCAGCTCCTGGACGTACTGCTGGGCGGCCCCCGTATTACACGCGGGATCAAACAGAGCGGTGCGACAGCCATCTGGAAGAGCCTTGAGGTGCCCCTGGGGGGTCTCGAGGCTGCCTTGGCTCTTCGTTCCCGGGCGGGTGGGACGGAGTCTTGGGGACCGCCCAGGTCGCCAATTAGTGCCCTCTGTGAGCTTCTTGGCAACCTGGCGGGGTTTTCTTTGAGCCCTCCTGGGCCGTCTTCACTCTCTCCTGGAGCCTACTGGACCGTCCTTGGGCTGCTTGGGCGACTCTTCGGTGATCTTGGGAAGCTTATGGGGCCCTCTTGAACGGTATTGGGGCACACTGTATGCTTTTTGGTGGATGCTTTGACGTGTCGGGGTCCCTTCCTGGGCCAAATTGGGGCTATCTTGGGCTGTCTGGAACCTCTCCAGAGGCCCTCTGGAGGCCCTCAGGCGGATCCCGGAGGCCTCTCTGGCAGTCTTGGAGCGCCCCGAAGCACTCTGGAAGTCTAGTTGAGTCGCCAAAGCGAACATAGACGAGTAAGTCTTGAAACTCAATGCTGAGTTTGAAGACTTTGGCTACAAAGGGCCTCTTTTGGACGTCTTGGAGCCTTCTGCAAGCCTCCCGTGGCCTTTCGGGGCCAAAGAGGGACCTTGGGAAGCCATCTAGGGCGTTTCCTGGACCGTTTGCGGGCTGACTCGGAACGGTCTGAGGACATATTCGAATTATCAACCGACTCCGGTTGGAGCCGTGGGGTGCCAATCCAATATAAAAACATCAGCCCCCAGGCCCAATCCAGCGACCTCCCTTGCTCGGGTTTCGTTCAGACTCTCGCAGAGACATGCTAGAAACAATTAGGCGCGTCGCCAGCGCTGAGACTCGAGGCTGGCATCGGACATCGAGAAAAAAGTCCAGATGTCCTCTGAAGGCCCACATCCATATCCTCTTGTTCCCTACCTCGCCAACGTTGTCTTATTCGGCGTTTCGACACTGGGCGGAACGAGGGGGGGGGCAGGGGGTTCTGGCCACGGACCTCTGCTGAACTTGACTGTTTGCAATCGTGCGTCCATTGTGGGGACACTGAGCATGCCTGAAACAAGCGCCAAAACTGCCAATATCCACTCCAGGATAAAGGTTTGGTGCGAGGGCCCGCGCCGACCAGCTGACCAATGCAAAAAAACGATAACCGCGTTATCAGACTCCCTGTTCTCTTTGCGCTCCCCCCCCCGCTCTTCAACATCGTCTGCGGCTACATCCTGGTTTTGTTTTCGTCTCCCACCCTTGCCAATAAACCCGCCACCCGTGCCCGCTGGCACGCTGAGGCGTGGACGAATACCAAAAGGTATGTGGAAAGGGCCCAAGGACATACAAATAAACACACACAAATCCCAGGATCCCCAGAAGTTGTCCATATCGTTTGGATGTTCGTCTTCCCCCCATCTTCCCCCATGTTCTCAAATGTTCTGGGGAATCGACGATGAATTGTGTCTGTGTGTTGTTTCCCCTCCTGACAAATGTTCGGTAACGGTTTTTTGGGTTCGAAAAAAACACTCATCCACTTGCCCGCGGGCTCTTTCCCACGCGGTGCCCGCCCGAGGATGGTGCACTCCCAACATGGCAGCTGATGATTACCTCCCCCCTGCGACGCGTGCCCGCCCGAGGATGGTGCACTTCCTCTCGAGCACGACAGATACTCGTACCCTTTTATCCAGGCGGGGTGGCAATGGGCGGGGGGAGCGACACGCCGCAGCCGACGGCGGTTGCACAAGTGCAGATGCGACGGCCCATGGAACATTACACGACGCTGTCTTCTCCGGGCATCCGCTGGCACCGAAAACACTCGCGTTCCAATCGGCAGAGTGGCCAACCGCGCATTGGTCGCTCCTGGGCTAGAGCAGGTCATTCGGAGGTGCGCCCACGAAGGCGCACAATCAAGCGTTTGGGGCTCGACGCGCAAAATGCGTCCAGGGTGTCCTGGGCGGGCGCCGCTGCAATCCCGCGCTCGCCCCAAACGCCTGGGGCCCCGAACGCCAAGCGCGGTCGCCAAGGGCTGGTCCCTGGAAAACCCACCTGTCGTCACCCCAGCCAGGTCCGGATACGTGTCGGGGGGCACAATCGCCGACGTGCGTCGATGGTACCCCCAGACACGTACCCGTATTTAGTCGAGGTGTCGTTTGGACGAAATCGCTATCGGGCGCACGCGCGGCCCCCGAGAGCGCTCCCGAACGCGGCCGCAACGGTCCTCAGGGGAGCGTGAGATTGCAGCGACGCTCCTGCGGGCAGGCCCAAACGCAAAGGAGCGGTGGTGCCTGTCCCCAAATGGGACAGGCACCACCACTCCAATGCTGTTCTCAAGCCCGCGGACACCCCCGACACCCCCGATGCCCCCAAATCAGGGCATGTCGCTGCAATCAAACAACCAGCCGTTCAGCGTGTCGCTGCGTCCTGACGCGCGGATGCTGAAACAGCGCGCGCGCGGCAGGCTGATCGCGGGCAGTGGCAAGCGCCCAATCCAGCGGACGGCCCTCTTCACCCAGGCCGACCCCGGGCAAGGGATATTTAGGACAAGTGACTTCCCGCATGGCAACTGATGCCTGAACCCTCCTTCCATGCGCGCCCGCTCGAGGATTGCGCACTTTCCGCGGCTGCTGCCTCCCAGAGCCCTCATCCCACGCGCACCCGATCGAGGAGCATGCGCGCCCCGCATTCCCAGGCGCTGCTCCCAAGCGCTACACGCCCCCCCAAGCCACGATCCTTACTATAAACAATCGATCTGCGTCCCGAGCTTCCAAAACGACCCGCGCGGGCAACCAAGGACACCAAAATGGCCCAAGATGCCTCGAAGACGGCCCAAATATGGCCCCGATACGGCCAAATACCTATACGACCACCCTTCGGGTGATAAGGAGGTTCGGGGGGGGGGAGGAACCAACGTCTCACTCGATCGGTCTGACTATCGATCTCACTATCGATATGAGTATCGGTCTCGCTCGATCGATCTCCCTCGATCGATCTCACAATCGATATCACTCGATCTATCTCACAAATGATCTGACTATCGATCACACAATCGACTTCACAATCGATCTCACAATCGATATCACATTCGGTCTCACTATCGATCTCACTATCGATATCACAACCGCTATCACAATCAACGTCATCATCATCATCAACAACAACATCAACATCAACATCATCATCACCAACATCATCATAATCGGGACACCGTCCCCATCATGAACACCAACCTCATCATCATCACGGTCATCAACATCATCGGGGCACCACCATCATCATCATCATCACCATCATCACAATCAATCATCATCAACATCATCCTCATCAGAAGCATCGGGACACAGTCATCGTCATCATCATCATCCTCAGCAGCATCATCATCGGGACACCAACATGATCACCATCGTTATCATCATCATCATCATGATCGGGACACAATCATCATCATCCTCTCATCCTCATCATCGACATCATCATCATCCGCATCATCAACATCATCAGCATCATCATCATCATCGTCATCATCGGGGCACCATCATCACCATTACCAACATCAGCATCAACATCACCATCATCAGCATCACCATCGGGACGCCATCATCATCCACATCATCATCACCACCATCAGAATGATCATCATCATCGGGACGCCAGATTCATCATCAACCTCATCATCATCAACATCATCATCATCGGGACACAATATGTAGTCATTTTGGCTCAATCCATTTTGGCTCAAGGCCATTTTGGGGCCTCTACCCCCCGACTCAAGCGGCCTGCGCCCGCCGCGCGCGAGTGCGACCCTGGAGAGGCCCAGCGGACAGGGGTCACCGCATTTCTTTTCTCA